CTTCCTTATGCTCTTTTCACACTGGTTTTGCTTAACCCCGGACTATTTTTTTTTGGCTTTTCACACATGCTGTTTTTAGTCCCGTACTAGCACCTATTCCGGAATAAGAAAATTCCCGCTGTTCTCACTGCAATTCGTTAGCCCCGGATATCGTGAATGTTATGATAGGACAGTGGGCTCCTTACTTCGCATCTGGCCAGCTGCGATACGCTCCATTGCGTAGTACCGGACTATTTTTTGTTTCTGTTCTCATTCATTTGCTAAGCACCGCAATTGCGGGGTTAGCAGGAGTTAGCACCACAATTGCGGGGTTAGCCCTGCTATTTTGTAGGGTGAGTTAACCCCACACTATAGGTGGGGCTAGCCCACTTTGGTAAATACGAGTCTGAACAGAAAGTGGAATAGGCTTAACCCCAGACTATAGGTGGGGCTAAGACCCCCCCCCCCCCCCCCCCCTTAACCCCACCTATAGTACGGGGTTAAGCAAAATTTTGCCAGTGTGAAAACAGTATTAGTCTGAATGACGCATTGTGTCAAACGAAAAGTCAATAAAGAATCAGCACTCACTCTAGTCTGAATGTTCTATTTTACAAAATTCATATAACTGGGCGGGGCTTATCTTGAATGCACACTGATGATTGGCCAGCTGTAATGTCATGTGACCTCTTCAAAATGAGTTCCTTTAATATGACATTCTTTAGTCTGTAGGCTCCTTTCGCTGTATAATGTTTTTCTTATACAGCGTTTCTTTATACGAGTTTGGTATAAAAATCCCAGAGTCTAAACAGAGTCTTTATATGTGTAACAATCTAGAGGGGGAAAATTGTATCTGCCAATACAAGGAGTTTGATGTAAACTGTATGAATGGGTTTATTACTATTATACCCCATTCACAGTGGTTTTGAAATTTGTAGCGGCGTTGTAGCGGAGCGGCGACACCGCCATAACACCGCTACAAATGCATTCACAGTAGAAAAGTTATCCCGCTGCAGCAGCGGGATAAATATCATGTACCCATTCACGCTGCAGCGGGTGATTTTTATTACCTCCGTAACAAACACGTGTATGCATGGCTCATGACCCGCGAGTGACCCCGATATGACCGGAAATACTTCAGCGCGGGGTTTTCGATTGCTTGAAATTGCGCGCGCTAGCTGTACTTTATTAAAAAACTAGCATTTTTATTGCTTCCAGTCAGAATATTTTAATTTTTTGAAGTGTGAAATATTTTTATTTGGATAATTATAATATCTACATAATAATAAAATCAATTTGAATCCACTGGTTACTTTATTTCTATTTCACTTTATGTTCCCCATTGCTGGAGAAAAGAGGTCAGTGATAGGTAAGTAAACAAATCACACGTGTTTGTCGCGGTGTTATAGCGGAGAGCCTTCACACTGAGTAAACACCGCGACAGCAGCGGGACTGTCCCGCTGCTGTAGCTAGGCGAACCTAGCGATAGTTTGTCGCGGCGTTATCGCGAGGCGGTGTTATCCCGCGATAGTTTATAACGGGTCCGAGCCTTCACACTGAAGACAACACCGCGACAGCAGCGGGACAGTCCCGCTGCTGTCGCGGTGTTTGAGGCCACTGTGAATGGGGTATTAGTAAGTAAAGAAAGATGATTTCATCTGATTGGAGTCGGAAGGGTATTAACTCATAGATACATGTACTTAATCAGAGAGTTAAGGCCTTTTAGGCTCCAAAAAGACAACGTAGTGTAGGTGTATTAGAAAGGCCATCCCATTCAACCAAATTAAGATCCATTTAAATTCATTATTTTTATGATTAAAATTGGCCTGCCATATTAAAGACGATGAGTTGCTCTACATACATGAAGGTGAAGTGTGAAGCTTATTCCTGAATCGATATTTACAATCCAAAATAAATACTGTTATGTAATTCATTATTTTGCTGGTACACGTTAATGTCAAGGAAATTCTTTGTGTGTTAAGAATGCGTGACAAAAATGAATTTTATCACAAGCAGTCAAGGTCTTTGCGGTCGTATACCATCGACATATTCATTAAATCGTCCCTATTTTCACGAAGTGACGGTAGTGAGGAAAATCGTCATGCAAAGTGAATGCAATTTTTTTTCACTACCGTCACTTCGTGAAAACAGCAACAAAATGTGTTCTAAAACGCAACTAAAATCCATACATATCTTCTTTTCAAGTTTCTCTGATGTTTGTTGCAAGTAAATATTCTTCAAGGATTGTGTTTTGATCCTCTTTCATGAATATTTCATATCTTGATGCAGTTGTGGACTTTCGTGGCCAAAATTATGGTTACATGTGATCCATAATGATTTTTGAATAAATTCAATAACATTTTCATGTATTTTTCTCCCATTTCTCCACTCCAACATATTCCTATCCACTGTGCAGCATTTTAGATTCCTTCCTCTCTTATTATTATATCATTTTATTTGTTGTCTGTCTCCATTTTGTATTAGCTTTACATCATTATTTTGCCCCTTATTCCTGATACAGATTTCTGTGAATTTTAAGATTTTTGTTGTTGAAAATAAGAACAAACAAACGAAACAACCACAAAATTCAGGAAAAAAGGCTCTCAAAATAAATATGCTTTCCATTACAATGTTTGCCTCAGTACATTTCAAATTTCAAAATTTAGAAATTCAAAACATTAAAAAACACCTATTCGGTTGTAATAGTGAGAAAAGATATAATATATTTACATGTATTAATAGTTTTAATTTCTAAGATGCTCTCTTACCCATACTTTTTTCCAAGGCTTGAGACTTGAGACTTGAATGTCATTTCACTGCATTTGTACATCTGAGCACAGTTTATCCCAGGCATGATACAATAATTATCAACGTTCTCATAATTGCTTTACCGTATTGGTTCTTAAGATTTCACCAAATCATTTTGAAATGATTCGCAATATAATGACTTCATGATACAAGGTAGTCAATTGCTGTGAGATTCGTTAAAAAAAGTCCTTTTAATACAAACAGTTTATTTTTTGTTTGATACTTTGACATAAAAAGAAGCTCTCATGCACATCTAAAAGTTATCTTAGATGTGGTATGCTTGAGGTGGTTTTCAGAATTATCTGTATGGGGCAACTTTACCCTCGCCCCCTCCTCTAAAATTACCCCCCCCCCCCCTCTGCTCCCCTTCTTTAAACCTTTAAACTATATCTCTAGTGCTATTATTTGCTTACTGAAATGCTTGCAAGCATATTTTTCCCCTGAGTTTTTAAATATATCCCATTGCTCCGGAGTAAGCGGGAATAGAAATATGGAGGTATGTTCTGGATGTATGGTGTTTTTTGTTGTTGTAGACTTTAGTGCTTTTTACACATTGTGCCTAATATTACAATCAAATGTTATGGCAAGAATTTAGGCAAAGCTTGGGATGTTGAGGGCTATCAATCAACTTTGTAGACTTTGAATCCATAATTGTGACAAAAAGTTATAAAAAGGGGAAAAAGAAGCATGGCTATAATATGATAATGTAGTGCAGGTATAAATAAAAAGTGAGCCGGGATAAAAACAAAAACAACTGAAATGTGTAGATATGGTTTGCATGTTAGAATTATAATGCTTTTCTCAAACATATCTGGTTATTCATGTAGAGAGTACAGTGCATCAAATAAAAGGGTCAGCTTTGTATGCTCAATAGCATAAATCTTGTCACATATTTGATTGTGTATATATATGATTTATTCCTTTCTTTGAGAAGTATATGTAGATTTTTGTTTTTGCTTTTTTGACAAAATATCAAATGTGTATATAGAGTGTGTATTTTAAAGTGGAATGCATGCTCTTTTTAGTTATACTTTTCTGATTTATTGTGAATTTGTGAACAGTAGGAACAATTATTTAAAACCAATGTACCATTACAAAGGTAATTGGGTAGAAAAAACAATTTGATCAGAAGTCATTGCAAATTTAAAGTAAATTGTAAATGCAAATGCATTGTCATCTTGTTCTATCTAATTTGTTGAATCCAGCTTGATAGGAGCTTGTATCCCAATCAACATGGCATTTCATGAAGTTTTCTTTGTGCATCTTACCAGTGCCCCCTACCAGTGCCCCCCCCCCCCTTTCATCATCTAACATTGACTTAAATAACTGTAGACCTAAACTGTTGCTGAATTCCTTCCATGATAACATCAAGTCCCCTCATTTTGAATCTGTTTGAATAAAAATGAAAGAATGAAGGAAAATACAAAGAACAACAGTAAAAACCTATCTCGCCCCTGAAGAAAATTCTGCTCTGTACATGTACATTTTGGTATCAGAAAATACATTGTACATGACATGTACCGGTAGTCAATTAGTAATGCACTATTGTTAAAATTATTTGGTTAATTGTAACCTTGTCTTCACTTGTAAACATGTAATTCATTTGATTTTTTAAATATATATTTTCTTTGATATTAGTATTGTTTAGTTATCATTGTTAATTTGTTATTTGTGACAATTTGTGTTATTTACATCTGTATCATTTATACATGTCGGTACACTAGAATAGAATAATTGTATGATTCTCTTAGATATTGCCATTTGAGAATTGTTGATTGAGATTTTTATAAAAGTTAATACATATGCTAGGCAATACAATACAAGAAAAGAGGTTCAAGATTTGCTGAAATATATGATATTAGGGTAATCATCAAAAGCAGAAACTATAGACTGCATTTCTTGATTTTAATGTTTTTAAAAAAATCATTTACACCATTTGTAATATTCATATCATTTCTTTGCATTCATCATTATATTTACTCGTTAAAGAGAATTCTCTCTCTTCCCACAAAAGTGCCTCAATTTGTATCTACATTTTCCGCTGTTTCTATAATTTGTTTATTTTCTTAGAGTTCTATATTCTTTCGTGTTTTCCTTTTTCTTTCATGGTTTATTATTTCATGCTTTTACGTCTTTCAGGCTTACTATTATTTCAATTCAATTTTTTTTATTCCTTATTTGATTTATTTCCATCTCACGCTTTTCACATGCACAAGGAGCAACACAAGGTATTTACATGGTTGGGTTTTTTCTCATAACCTTTTCAACTAATTTTTTTCCCCGTACATTCAGTTTTCTGTGTGTGTTTGTCAGGTATCTGTATATATTTTGAGCGTTTGTGCACTTGTAGTGTTTTTAATATTGTTAAATTTGTCACACAGGTTATGCACATATAATGCAACTAGCGTTGATCTATGTTTGATTGATGCTTGGAAAGGTCTACTAGTAAAATAATTATTCCTAAAGATTATGTGTTTACATAATACTATAAAATCAATTAAACATGTATTTTATCATTTGTATACAGTGCTTTTATCTGAATTATCAAATAAGAAAGATTGGTGCTTGCAAATACCTTCTAGCATGTAATTAAAACCCACAGATCTTTGATTTGTGAATTATGTTATAGTTTAACTGATAGTTCTTGTTCAGTGATCTTTTAGCTGAATTCATGAATAGGAAGGATAACAAAAAATGGAAATTTGATAAAAGTTTTATGGGTTGTTTTCAGGGGAATTAATGGATAGTTTTGTGTGTCTAAATTTTCCCACACCCCACACTTTTGATGTTGTCTTTATCACAAAGTTATATTTCAATGGTTATAATGGTTGATATTGTGGCTTTTATGTTAATATTGAATGTATGTATGTTTGTGAATAGTTGTTTATTTGATTTTTTTCTCAATATTGTTTACCATTTGAATTAATATTTTTTTCCTCCACTTTTCATTTGGTAGACTATATTCAAACTATAATATGGAGACTAACTATTTTTTTTAGAAGCATTTGGATTTATTGTAATACTAATAAACAATATTTCAATTTAGTTGTGATAATAAAAGACTAAAACTTGTTGTGCAAAACCTCATTTCAAGCATGACTAATCTAATGATGTAAATGATCAATCATTTCTCATACAAGTATCATACTTATTTCCTGTTTTCTTGGTAACATAAAAGCCTCGTTTTGGGTCATGACTTGGTCATGCTGAGGTGACCTTCATTTATGCCCACATAAGTTAACTAATTCTTGAAGTCTTCCCACGTAATATTTTGTAAACAGGCTTTGCTTGCAGGAGGCTTTGTATAAATGTACAGTACATTGTGTTTGTAGCACTCTAATATTTATACAGTGCAAGTTTTAGCCTTTTAAAAAGACACTCTTGTGCTGGTTCTTGACAGTTGCATGGAAGCACATTTAGTTTTTGAAAGTTCTAAAAAAGAGCCCTTGAAAAATTAAAAAAAGAGTTCTGTTGAAGATATTGTATTAGCATTGCAGCACTTAGGTTTCACTTGTACTGTAGCAAATCCAACATGAGAAACTGGAAGGAAAAGGTCTAAATTTCACTGGTTTATGGGGGAAAAAATGTGAACAGAGCAACTTGATATCTACCAGATTTTGGAATAATGATAATGCCATAATGGTAACAACAACGGCATAGTTTTATTACATTGAAACTGAAATTTATTTTTATAATAATGATAAAATAGAAGAAGAACATGATCAGAGTAGTTAGGAACTTTCTTAGATATAGAGATATGTCATCATTGAAATAATATCTGGGCATGTAGTGGACAGTGTTTCTATTAGGTGACAAGTTGACTCACCACCAAATTTTGACGTATCGATTTTGCTGGTTGCCAGTATAATAGCCTAATAGTACATGCATATGACCTGTGCCTCATCTGACCATAATACCTGTTTAATAGTGATGGTATATCAAATTTTATAGGTATCTATGTGAAAAGAATAGTCCTATCACAGTATATTAATTCCAGACAATTAATCAAAGAAGGATTAAGGATAGGTCCATTTTTGGAGGAACGTGTTCATTTTGCTGGTAACGTCTCCAGTTAACAAACACCCTTGAACTTGTTGACTCATGAATATTGCACTCTTACAAATTACAAATTACTATCTTTTGATCGATGTGAATACCTGAAGCTTCACTGTAAATCAGCTTACTGGTATAGATCTATAGAAAACCCTGGACCACAGAAGTACATGTATTATCAATGTAGGGAGGGAAAGAGAGAGAGAGAGAGAGAGAGAGAGAGAGAGAGGGGGGGGGTGGGGGACGGAGGGGTAAGAAAGACAGATTAGATAAGAGGACATTTAAGCATCCTAAAGTATGTAAGAGTGCTCTTGAAAAAGCCCTGATTTCATAAGAATTGACAAGGTTTTCTTTTTCGGGTGAAGAATATAAGCAAAAGGCAATGAAGTGTGCAACCATGATACAATTCAGATGCAAAGTGGTTAAATGTATAAGAGCAAGGGAGTGAGAGAGAGAGAGAGGGGGGGGGGGTTAGAGATATCAAAAAAGAGAGAGAGAGAGAGAGAGAGAGAGAGATAGAAATAAAGAGAGAGAGAGAGTCAGAGAGACAGACAATGAAAGAGAAAAAGGAGACACTCTCAATAGGGTTCTAAATTGAATATTCTACTAAGAATACTGTTTACTGCACACTTTAGCGGTTATGAAACAGAATCTTTTGTATCAGAAGAAGGACATTTTTTTTGTCAAAAGCTGCAAAGAGGGCCTACTAGGGGTTTGTGGTACCTGATTCAATAGATACCCTCGATACAGCTTAGTGCTCTTCTTTCTACATGTGTTACATGCATGTAGACTTTCAAAATCACAAAATATGCAGTGTAGGCTACATTGATTAAAAGATACATGTATGAGTATGATCTTCTTAAAATAACTTGTGAATTATGAGGTTGCAGTGATTGAGTGTTTCCTACCATTTGTATCATCCTCTGAAATACATCTCATGTATTATAGTAATGTTTTTTTTAAACTTTTGATTGCCCTTTTCGCACAAATGTTTTCTTGAATTCTTTTCATCCTAAAATACTCCAAAGAAGAGTTTTGACTGTAGGTTTTTATAGCTTAATACAAAAAGTTGTTTATTCTAACAGCCACCATATTGTTTGGCCTTTTATCTACATGTATTTTTTGTCTTTCTGAAGAATAATAATGCATAATAATTAAAGACAGGTTGTGAATTATATATTCATTCCATGTAACAAAGTTTAATCTGCAACATACAGACATGGTATGCTATTTAAATGTTATCAGACCAAAATAAATTTGTCCACCAGTAGCATTGCTACCCTTTATGATAAGGAACAGATAAAAGGCTAAATCTTGACAACCAAATTACTTATCAAGGTACATGAAGTAGTCTGAAGGGAAACAAATATTTTGTTTGAAACTTTGAAAAGGGGATCTAAATACCAACCTTCGATTGCAGAACTCCTTGACATTATGAAGCTCTTGATTTTCACAATGTAGATCCCAAATTGGAGCAGGAGAGAACTTAAAGGAGATTGTGAGAAGATTATATTCATTAGGGCTAATGTACATTGTATTCAATGATTTCATGCATTGCAACCCTAGGGACTTTCCTTGATGAACAGGCTGATTAGAAGGAAAACAAATATAAATTAGAAATATACAGATATATATTTGAAAAGTGAAAACTAAACTAGAAAACTACACCATGGATATGCATATGTCGGATAGAGTTTTATATCATAGATTTCTCCTGATCTTTCTTTGTTCAGCTTTTAAAGTTTGTGACAACTTTTTTAGTTTATATCATTTATTTGTATTGCCTTTAAAATTCAAGGTAAAATTTACTTGATTTGTTGTAAACACCAGAGGTAGGGTTCTTTTAACTTGGTGAAGAGCTTAGAAGTATTTGTTGAATAATAGAGAGAATTTAAGAGCCTTGAGACGTGAGAGTTTGTATCAATACTTGAGATGGTTTGCAGAGAAAGAAGGAGTTTATTTTATTTTGATAAAAAACCCAGCAACCAAGTGTTGTATTGTTGCTATATACTCCATTCAATTAGAGTTTAAATATCAAAGGGTGAACATTGAATTCAAGCCCTAACCCATGCCATTTTATTTGTTTATTTTGTTCTCTTGCTGGTGAAATAGATTTGAAATATATTTAATAAGTTATTCTCTATGTTTGCCTCATTTTGCCTTTTTGTTTGTCATTAGATTCACCCTTCCTCATAATTTCTGCCCTGTAACTGCCAAAGTTCATCTATTTGTTCTCTCTAGTGTTCAATAAGAATGTAATCCTCTGTGTTTTATAATATTGTCATCTACTATATAGATACAATGTACATGTAGTTTACACCCTTGTGAATTGCTGTAAAGGTGTCAGGATTGTCAGTGAGGTTTTGCTTATTGTGAATAATTTGGGCAACATTATATCATTATGTTTTGTTTTTTTGTATACTCCCATGGTACATGTACATTAGAAAATGAATTCATAACAACAAATAACAAATAAATAGTTGCTAGAAGTCTAAACGCAGGTTGCTATTTAAGTGTATACAAAAGCATTTTGCTCTTTAATTGTGTAAAGTATTCATTTTCTGTTTTCTTTAGAACTTGATCAGATATAAAGCTATACAGCTTTTTAAAATAGAGCATCTTCTAGATTTATCCACACTTATCATTTCACAACTTCTATGTTTCCCACTTGTTAGACACAGAAATAGTAAATTCTTTATTCAGTATTAATTTGTCAATATGACACATACACATGTCACTCTATGTTTATGCATGATAGCCTCATTCATTTCTTCTCAAATGTATTCCTTTACAGAAAACTGAAAACAGAACTCCATGAGCTGCGAAGAAAATCTGCAGTGAAGGTCGATGAGGACAGTGGGGACAGTGGCAAGAAGGTTTGCGCTCGTTGTCGTGAGCCGCTCGGCACGATATTCAACTCGGGGGAAGTGTGCCCTCGTTGTCAGCACAAAGTCTGCTCCAGCTGTAAAGTGCTTCTTCCGAACACCAAGAAATGGCTGTGTACAATCTGCAACAAGCACCTGTGAGTATTTTAATAATAATATTCAGCTTTTATATAGTGCTCAATACATCTTAGACGTCTCTAAGCGCTTTACAGATATACTATTATCCCGGTCATTGGATTCAGTGCTTGCCCAACACATTGTGTGCACAATCTCCACCCTGATATTATCAAGATTCAGAAACACCTCTTACATGGAAGTCATTTTTTGAGGGCAGAATCCTAGAAATCTGTGCATTCCTGATGGATTTCCATTTTCTTTTGTAGGTGGGTTTTTTTTTGTAGAGAATTGTATGAGAATTTATATGCAACAAATCACAATTTATATTTGATAATCATGAGTAAGAATTTATAAATGGATTTTGTATGCAATAAATCAGAAGAAAAAGTATATATTCATACAGTGTACCTGAAATGGCTGATTCTGAGCACTACATTGCCATACCCATTGCATACAGGAACCTGGAGGTCCCTGTAATAGACCTGTAGTAATTTTATGTTTGTTTGTACTCTCATACCCCGAGAGGGGGTCAAAGAGTCAATAAAATTCTACAAATTCTACTGAAAGAGAATTCAGTCGTCTACAGGTTAAGAAGATCCAAATGATCATTTGAAATTTTTTTTCTTCAATATCTTAGGCAAATCCGACTAGAATCAGGAGAGGCGTTTGGACCTAAAGAAGGCCAAGCAGAAGCCTACGGTTCAGACCTAGTCAAGATGTCACTCGCCAAAAACAAGACTGGGCGTGACCCGATCGTACACGTCAATGGTGGTCCTCAGAGCCCCGCAGACTCTGGTTTCCATGGGCGCGGTGGTGCCAACGTACCATCGGTCGGTGAGAGCAACAGCACCACGTTTGACGAGGACTACCCAAGCGATGTCAGCTACGAGCAGAGCATGGTGTCGGGCATGGAGAGCATCGGACCGAGCGTCTCCCAGCGTGGCACCGTTGTAAGGTATGACTCTAGTACTCCGAGTAGTCCGTGGCTATCGCCACCTGCCTCACGGCGCGTGGCCTCCGGCACCGACAGTACATCTACACCCCCAATGTCAGAGGTCGAAGACGGCCATTCTAGGCGGTACAGGAGGAAGGTTCGGCGCGGCGGTGGTGGAAGCGCTAGTTTCTCCCTGCCGAGCTCCGCGACCTCGTCGCCTATATCCTCATCTCACCGTCATCATAGGTCACATCATTACTCATCACACGGATCACTTGCATCAGGGTCAGGGTCACACTGGGGTCAAAGGTATAAAGGTCATGTGGAGATTCATTCCTTCTTTCCCAATCTCCTCCTTGTTTGCACTTTCCTAAGAATCCCAAGCATTGTAAATTTGTGTGAAGGATGCTGTATAAATATAGGAATCTTCTTGCAAACATCTTCTAACAAATGCTTCTTAAAAGTACATTTAAATATGCAACTGTAACCAGCATGTACTATACAACTTGAAAATTGTGTGCCAAATAAACCAGTGCCAGGCATTATGCAAACTGTAAAAAGGACATTTTTAAATACACTTTAATTACATTTCTAAATACCTTTGGAGAGGTCTTGAAGCCATCATTCCCCTGGTTGCTTATTTACAAGCATGCACATACTTTCTTTGATATCAATCAGGTAAAACAAACCAAACATTGAATTTATTTTTTCAATTTTTATGAGATACTTTTATGAACCAGAAGATTTTGGTCACAGTTGAGTCATTATAGCCTCATCATTTTATACTGGCACACCTGCGAAGCCATTTTTTGACCTCTAATGCACGCATCATGAAACATACTGGTACCCTTCAAAATAAGAACCCCTTTCCTCTTTCTAGATTGAAGTGTTTAGTACTAACATCCCAATTGCCTTTTTGCAAATTGAGTAGAAAGGTCAATTCTATCAAAGTGCACTGTGTAGCTGTTCTAAAATATCTATGCAATGAATTACCAAATAGCTATGCAAAACTGTTTGAGGTCTAAAATGCATCTTGGAAAAAGGTATTTATTATGCTAATGCATTGCTAATAAAAGGGAAAGAAAAATATCTCAAATTGTCCAACTAAACACAGTTTGCTGCTGCATGTTTTCTCCCAAAGATTTGTACATCTAGTTTATAAACAAATCATGTTTTTGAGTAGATAGAGTACCAATTCCTTTTTTCCCCTAATCAGTTTGCATAAATTTCTTATTAACCTCTCTACCTTTTTTTTCTTCATTTTTCATTTTTGTCTTTGTTACCTAAACTACAATTTATTCAATAAACTCCTCATATTTGTGTCTGTAATTTAAGTTTGAGCATTGATCTCTATCTAGTTGCTATATTCTCATACTTGACATTTGATATCACTGAAAAGAGACTCTATTCTCCTTTAGTAATATTGATGCACTTTGCAACATTTCACTTTTGAATAGGCCCATATTTAAGTGTGCTGCACATTCCATGGTTACCTTATCATTACAAATGGGGCATCATTGTTAAGAGAAGTAAGCAGGCTTTTCAATGATACCAAAATTCAATTACGATATAGTTATAAGAGAGATGTTGATGCTCAAACCTGAATTGCAGAACTCTTTTGGGGGAGTTTATACTGTTATCTGAGAACCGATGTAGCATTGTCTAAATCTATCTGAGTTCTGGGGCCCATTCCTAGAAACCGTCATAAGTCTAACTTCTTGACTATCCCATTGAAACGCGTGTTAATTCTATAACACACGTTTCAATGGGATAGTCAAGAAGTTAGGCTTATGACGGTTTCTAGGAACGGGCCCCTGGATCCCTTCCACAAATCTGGAATTAAATAGAAACTTGATAAATGACAAAATATCCAAGCTCAACCACGCAATAAAGGAATTGCTCGTATTCACCATGCTCTGTGTGATACAATACAGAAATGTGAAACATATTACACTTTTCGTCGCTTTTGCTTTCGTCATATCTGAACGAGCCTTGATGAAATATCTACTGGGCTCAATGCTGTAATTAGGCAATTCTGGTTCTCAGCTACCGATATCTATCTCCTCAAAAGCTTCCTGATCCTGCACATTGAAGATTGAATGAAATGTTTCTCCATGCATGACCTTTGACCTTTGAACTCTCAACCTGTTATTCCCATGAAACCCTGTATGCATATCCATCCTGTGCATTCTCTTTTTTCCAACATGAAGTACCTTTTTTGAAAGCAGATCTAGAGCGTTTGCATCTTGCATGGTTTTTCTTGCTATTTCTACCCTTGTAACTCTTCATATGTCACTTCAGCACAAGGATTAGTCAACAGGCAACAATAAAAGTGCATAGTGCAATTAAGAAACAAAAATGTAAGCTTAAATAATTACCAGGGTTCATATTCCTAAAACCTAAAAGCTAGTTGTCAACTCATTAGGCTATAATACATAGTTATTTGACAAGTAGGCTTAGTAAAATTTGATGAATATAGGCCTTCTTTTCCGTCTTAATCAATGATGAAACTACTCATTTATTTGCTTTACAAAGTATTGAGTTTTACATTTTTACAAAGTATTGAGCTTTAAGTTTTACAAGAAATCTCTCAAATACTATGAAGCTAGCTTTGCTATGACTGCTCTTAAAAAATATTTAATAATCCATGGTTGTTTGTAGATTGGCACATGAAGAGTTGCAGTAGATAGAAATATATTTTGTTTGTATCTATGCCAAATGTAATGATATTGTTATAATACTGTTGATGATAAAGATCATTTGACATTGGTAAGTATAATTATTCATCATTCTATGAACAGATCATACATGTACTTTGCAATGTGTGATGATTTCAAGCATAGATGTCAGATTCAGGCTTAAACTGTAAATACAATCAAGCTATATATACATGTAGATGGTTATGACAATATGTTTGCTGGAATTCTCTCTTTTAAAATTTCAATCAAAAATGCACTGTACAATGCAAGGTACATTATGTTGCAAAACTCACAATACACTTCTACATGAACTTTGTAACCATAACAATTACATGTAGGTGTTTACAAGGATAGGATTCGCCAAAATAACTGATATTTCATCACCTTATGATTATACACTTTAGAATATGAAAAGACATTGTAATGCGTCAAGACAATTTTTTAAGAGAAATTAGTTCAGACTCCAAATCAGTAATGATCAAGCATTTAATTTCTTTTTTTAATGTTTAGGATGCAATCATTATTGGCCAGGCTAACATTATTGAACAAGTAACACTAAATATTCAAGGGACCAATCCTGTACATGTATCTAACATGGTACTGTATCTTGTCCATATTATTTGCACAGCTGTTGTCTGAAATGCAGAACACACGACTCCCATTTGCGTTGTCTCTGGTGTCAAAATTATTGCGCATTCAAGTCATTCCGTCTCCTAAGGTTGCACACTTTTAAGGAGCTTTGTTACGATGGAAAAAATGAAGAGAATACTTCACATCTGTCATTTCTTCCACATAATACTAGGTTTGCCATATTTTTTACTTACATGTACATGTTAATGTGCCATTATAAACTGAACTTTAATGATAGTCATGATACCTAATAGCGATCTCCAGCAATGCATACAGGCTTTCGTTCACAGAATGAAAGAAAGGAGATAACAAACAATTACAAACAGAACCATGAACAAAAATAAAAATTTGAAATATAGCCAAAACAAAAATTCAATCTTTTCATTGACAAGCTACAAGTACCTAGAAGACATGTGCGCTGCCTTTATTAAACATAAAATAAATTGGAAAGAAAGAGAAGGAAATTGATTGAGGAGAAGGGAAGGGGTTAGTGTGGAAAGAAGAAGATGCAATCCTCTCCCTCACAGTTCATCTACCAGTAAGCCTGGTACACCCCCTCCCATGATACCAGTGTCCTGGCCTTATGTGGCTAGACTCTTGCTATGTGCTACTGAATCTTCCTGCATTAAGCATACATGTTTGTCCTACCTACAGTTCATTGTGAAACTAGCCTCTCAAGAAACCACTAAAAAATGAGGACTTGTACCTTTTAATCTCATGATTATAAGTGTAGAGGATGAAATAAGAAAAAAGCCAATAAATGTGAATGTATTACTAAATCTTCCCCCTTGCCTCCCTATCTAGAGTAAGAAAAGAGGCCCTTCAGGTCCATGTTCAAAATGTTAAATAAAAACTACCTTATGCATCATATATAAACAAAGAAAGCAAAGACCAAAAGCTTGATCCATAGGAAAAAAGTGAATCATTAAAAAAAAAAATGTGTCTCTACCAGATGACATTCATAGCAAACAAGAGGCCCATTGTTGATACAAAATATGCATTGGAAAAGTTTGTCAGTCACGGGTATGTGATGTAAACACTTGATGGAGTCAGGTGTAAGTGTAATGGATAGCTATCTCAAAGTATTAGAATTAGATACATATGGTCATAACAGATGGTACATATTAATCAGTTGTTTCTTTAGATTTGACAAACACTTGAACCCATAAGATAAAATTGGTTTGCACTTTGATACAGATTCATCATACAGGTAGACAACTCGTCGCTGTTTTCACGAAGTGACGGTAGTGAAAAAAAATTGCATTCACTTTGCGTTACGATTTTCCTCACTACCGTCACTTCGTGAAAATAGGGACGAACTGTCAGATGTACATACTAAATGTATGACGGTTCCTCTCAAACATGCAAATCTCAGTTCTACACCGACAATGAAAACATGAGTAAAGAAATCTCAGTATGAAATAAAGTTAATTATGAGATATTGTCTGGTCTCTTCAACTGTTATTTTCATGAACACCAGAACCTTTAAATCATACCCCAAACCAGACAAAAGAGACGTCATGGTCCTAAGAAAGCATCAACAAAATGTTCAGATTTCATAGTTTATATTCAGAATACATCATCAGGGTTTGGACAAATTATACCCATTCGAATTGAACCTTTATTAAGTTTACTAGATTGAACAGTGTATCAGTAATTTGTTGTAGAACGTGAAAGTAAAATAAATTTCAACAAGCTGTTTTCAAGATCGAAACTCTGCATTATAAATTATGGCATTATTAGTTGATTCCAAATTGTTGAAACCATATGGCACCTTGTCAATAATTCCTTTTCACACAGAATTGTTATATCATGCCGTTTCATTGTCACATGTTTTGACAGATGAGAAAACCATATGGCATTTCATAATTCCCATCAAGTTTCCATGGTAATGGTGATCAGTGGTTAGTGTTCTATCCACACCTTGCAATTAACAAAATACAAACAGGTATCATCCTCGCCTTCTTGGAGCCAGAAAGGTGTTAACTCATATATACAATAACACATAGTTTACAACCTTTTGGCTCTGACCTCACTATGAACATGACTGACAAAGAAAGCGGACAAAATATACAGTTCCTCAGGTAGACGAAGGAACACCCCTTCACTGCTATTATGTAAAAATGTGTAGAACAGGTGTCACATGCATATTCACCTTTTTACATAATAGCAGTGAAGGGATGTTCCTTTGTCTACCTGAGGAACTGTATATTTTGTCCGCTTTCTTTGTCCATCATATTCATAGTGCCTACATGTACACGTACGTATAAGTCACCTCAGAGATGTAAGCCACACTTACATGTAGTTGATCAGTTTAATCATGGCACCCCGATGCTGTACAACTTATGAATTTTGAACAATATTCAGATCGATTCAATTCAATGATACCCAAGCAAAGAACAAAATTTAATTTATTGACTGTCTTGGCCCAGGATTAAAAGCATTTTATTAGGTACCATTTTTTCTTCTTCTTTGATTTGATTTGATTTGATTTATTTTTCCACTCAAATATCCACAAATTAAAATGACATATACATGTATAAACCATACAGTATTACAATATATAATAGAACAAATGAATTATACAAGTAACAAAATACTGTATATATGGATAAAATAAGTTTACAGAGTACATTTAAGTTTGAGAATGAGACAAAATATTTTATATTGCTTAATTTAAGTGAGAAGGGAAAAAAAGGAATCTCAGAAAAGCTAGGCCTCATCATTAGGGAAAACTTTGCGCTTACCATTCCAGCATAGTGAGCATACTATATACATGTATGAATATCCAATTACAATACATACAACCATGCTGTACAGGATATGAAACTATTCTTTTTTATTTCAAGTTCTTTCTCTAGTTCTTTCTCTATCAAAGCACAAAGGGACATATTTATGGTAAGCGGTACATAAGTATTGCAATTATTATTATCACTGTCACAAACTCTTTTAAATACAGTTGGTCAGTTTTCAGAAAGATGACCCTATGGGTACAACAGGTAATGATTTTCAATTTTCTATGCAAAGACGTCATATATCAACATTCTTTTTTATTCAATTCTGTATGAATAAAATTTGTTTAATTTCTTCTTACCTACGCAGTAATGGTGTTGAAGGCGGGCTGCATGATACGGCTGACATCACAATGGAGCGCATCCCATCACGGAACGGTTCTCCAGCAACCAGCCGAAGGGGCAGGCAGGGAGGAGATGCAGGTAGGATTGATCTCATTACCATCTTGATTTATCTAATCACCATTCCTTGAATTAATCCTTCTAATTTACATCATGCCAAACCTTTTTTCATTTCATGCAAGCCAATTCGGTAAGTAAAATCTGTTTGATTTCTTATTATTGTTCGTGAACCAGTTGACAAGTCATTTCCAGATCATTGGAAGCGTGATGGGCAATTACCCATGGCAGTAATTAAGTTTGAACATTGTTTTATGTGATGTATCATTTTTGTACAGGTTGAACAACAATATTTGTATGTGTACCATTCACCAACAAATATTTTGCTCTGTTAGCTGTGGATTCCATATCGCTACACTATACTAGTACTGATATTCAAGACATGAGCTCCAAATATTACTCCAATAAAGAGATATCACTGATTTAGAAATGCTCTCATTTACATGAAACATTAAAGCTTCTCGTCAGTAGACTAGTCGATGCACTGCATAGAAACACCTGCACACGGCATTCAGTTCCATGCGCACGGTTGTACACTATTCTTCATTTTATTCACTCTCTTTAACCGTTAACCCCTAGAATGCCAGGTAAAGTTTGTTTTGAGGTTGAATTCACTCTTTCTTTCTGTACATACATTATCAATTTATCATTAGGTGATTGGTATATGCTCTAGGTTGGTCCTCTAGCCCTTCTGTGTCAGCATCTGTTTCAATAAAGCAGTTTATACATATAGTTGCAGTCTGAGCATGTGTAGATAAAGGTCATTGCAGACCAAAATGTGAAATACACACAGACAAAATACTGGATATGTGCTCATGAAAGTTATGTAATCATTACCGGTAATCATTTATGCACAAGCAGTGCACTCTATTATACAGAGGTGGAAGTGTTCTTTGAAAAAGGGTAACAAAGGCTATTTATGTAGCACCTCCGTCGGTGTAGGAGTGATTATTTCAAAATGTACAAAGTGGGACCTCTTCATGTTTATAAGATCTGTGGATATTCTGGGTCATTTGGGACATACATGTATGCTAACCATGAACTGGTCTATTCCTCTTTACTGTCAAAAGCAAGGAATACATGTTTGTTTGTTTTGTCGTCTCTGTATCGCACCATCTTCCTTTTTTTCTCAAAGAAGAGGAGTTGGTTAACCTCCTGATTTCTTTTGTTCTACTTTGGATTATATCTTTGTATGGCTGGTAACTCACTACTAATGGGGTGTTGCAAGAAAGTTGCAATCAATTGCAAATCCCCCAAATCAAGCGTAAGTCTTGCAATTGATCGCGACTCAACTTTCTTGCGATGCCACAATAGTAAGAGCAAGGGGGGGGGGGGGGGATTGAAGCTTAATCTAGTAAACTTAATTTGATTGTTGAAACTTTAATCCTAACAAAATCCTAGGAAATTTAGGAGACTAGTGGGGCTTTGCAAGAAAGTTGAGTGGCAATCGATTGCAAAATCAGTTGCAAATTTTGCAATTTGCAATCAATCGCAACTTTCTTGCAATGCCCCATAAGGTTTGGATTGTGGTATCATTTTGTAAAATATAACGGTGAATTCTCTGTTTATCACACCGAAAAACAAAAACAAAAAATTAATCTTGCGTATTAAGTGTTTAATAAAAACTCAATTCCATAATCATCTCTTCATTTCTTTCCCTTATACTTCATCTTCAATTTCTCTAAACGCCCCTTAAGCAGGTTCTTTTGACGAAAGAATATATATCTACAGCATTTTCAGTAAGGCTACCACATGGTGTAACCGATTACCTCAACATTTTGTTTACATACTTTCAGTAGTTTTGTTTCTAATTGGCACATATTTTCTCAGTTACGGGTATTTTAATATATTAATGAACCTCTGCTTAATGCAGTTGCTTACATCAGCGTTTTGTGTATTGCATGTGTCAAAAAATAATAATGATAGATTACCGTTCTATAAAGCTTAATGCAAAAAAATTCTAAGCGCTGTGTAAAGTAACATGTTAAAAATATACGAAAGTCCTGTAGTGAAAATTAATATCAAGTATTAGGGGTAAGTAATGAACTCACCAATTTACATACTCGAATAACAACCATCTAGTCAAATACAAAGTAACCCAGGTGAAAAACGAAGCATACACGAAATGATAACATTACATCTGAAAGATAGTGAAATAGCATTTTAAAAATTGACATTTTAAAACTGAAATTACAAAGCAGAGCCATTAAATACACTAAAACTTTAATATGAAGTTCATGAAGAGCAACTACATTACGAGGAGGAAGATTCAGACAAATACTGCTGTTTAAGACTGCAGAGTTACTAAAGGGTATTAAAAAGGAATGCTATTATTACAAGACCAACCCCCCATTACAAGACCAACTGCTTAGAGGCAATTTGCGGTAAAGAATAATATTTTTATTATTATTATTATTATTATTATTAGAAACGCTTTGGTTAAAAGTTGATCTTTTAACGTAATTTTATCTTTCAATTTATTTTATCATATACTGGTATTTCAGATGACTGTACAAGATATCTTCAAATTGGTGAATAGTACATTTATCATATGACCTACAAATATGACATTCATGAATTCAGATTCCTCAGTCAAATTATGGTTTTGATGCAATTGAAATTGAATGGATAAAACATGTCCATAAAGAGAATATAGTCATGAAAGCAATATGCAACTGAGATGAATTGGGAATAGCTCCCTCTGTTGACCAAATGCATTACCTTACACTCGCATCTTAAACTAATAATGATGACACAGCAGGGAGTTATGATGATATTATACTCTAGTGTTGTCATCTATCATCTAGTACAAATTTCTTTGTCGATGTATTGGGTCAATAACTTAGCTAACGGCCAGACAACATTGGACAAAATGATGTTTAATAAATTTCAACATGCAAGTGAACAGACAGTCAAACACACGCCAGTACAAGCACTCATTAAAATGTGCAGGTACATTGTGATTGCTTTTTTTCCCCCTCATCCTTAAACCTTTCACATTTTCAACTTCTTCTGAAAAACGCATGGCAAGATTTTTAACCAAACTTGGTAGGGAACATTCTTAGGCAAGGGCAGGGCGCGACAAACCCGCTTGCCCGACGTCCCGGGGCAACCAAATTGAGCCGTCGGGCAAGTAAATCAAATTATCACTTGCCCGATTCGGGCAAGTGATACTTTTACAGTAATTTCCTAGTGTCCAAGAACTCTACCATTCACCCGTCAACTTCTTACCCGTCGTCAAAATCCAGAAGCAAAAAAGCGATCGTTCCGATTTCGAAAAAACTTCACAGACAGCTAGCCAGCTCAGCTAGCTCAGCGCGCATGCAACAGTGACACTTCAAGCCATGAATGCCGCTCCGCCTCCACGCACGGCCGGCCGTGAGCTAGCTAGAGACAGCTAGCGCGATCGTACCAGCTGCGAGCTTATTCGCGCTCTCTCTCTCTAGCTCTGCAGGCCGCACCGACAGGCCTTTGCTATTCTCTGATTGCCGATTGGTTGAATCACGCCAAATATGACGTCATTATTCTAGGGAAATGAACACGTGCGAATCGGAATGGAATAAACAACAGGGATTTTCTAGTAAGTACAAAAAGTCAAATGTTTGATATTTATTCATAATGACTGTTAATGATTGTGAACATATTATTTAAAACTCGCTGCTCATATAAATCAGATGAATGTTTTTGTCTCGTTTTCAATTTATTACTGCGGTCTCAAGATCCGACCGAGCGAGTCATTTTGATAATAGTATCGAGACCCCCAGAATATAAGCCGTTGTTGTTTTGTTTTCATGGTTTTAGCGACGTTGTTTAGTCTAGTTTTCGCATACTTATCCGAGATTTATCGTAAAATATCTTCAATATTATTATTTAGTAAGAATTTACAAATTTTGGCATGATATTTATAGCAGTGAATGATGAAATAAAAATGTCCGTACTTTATTTAAAATAGTTGATTACCCATTATTTACATGACGTTTCTTGATGGAAGAGTTGACCCAAATTATTAACAGCTGAAAATTAGCCTACGTTTCCAAATGACAGCGGCTTTGCCGCTTGCACAGACACACATGTGATGTTGCACCATGGTACATGTGGCTACCATTAATGACATGTTTGTATCATATTTTTTACAACAGGGTCATTATGCTTTTTTACATGACTGAATATTAAAAACTTAAACCTGCTTGAACCATTCTACCTTGCCGAGATTCATGTGAATCTGATTATTTATGGAGAATCAATAAAATGCGTTTTTTAAACCTTCAACCATCCTTTGTTGACCATTTTCTTTGACATATTAGGTTATTATTCAGTACAGTTACACTGTACATGTATGTGCATTAATTTGCTATCTAAAACACTAACTTATCATTACGAGATAATAAATGCTTTAACCTCGAGTCCTTTTTCGCTTTAAAGTTTTGGGCAAGTGGAAATATTGTTTGGGTAAGTAAATTGAAAACCCACTTGCCCGACAGGGCAAGTGGTGAAAAAAATTCTTGTAGCACCCTGAAGGGAGGTCTAAATATTTTCAAATGGGATGCGTATTATAACCCCCAGGCCCCCAAAGTTCCTCAGTGGCAGCAATTGGATATTTTATTCTTCTTCTTGAATACCATGGCTGGATTCTAACCACAATTTGTGGAATCACCCGCATGAAAGGGAACTGTAAAGTTATTAAAATGGGGTATATACCTACCAGGGAGCTGCATCCCCTTAAAAGCTTCTTAGGCAATTTTTAGACATCTTTTACTTTTCTTTAATTTTGACTTAACTCGATAGGAAGCATTCCTCAGGAAGAGAGGGGGGGGGGGGGGGTATGAAAATTTTCTGAATGGCTCCTGACTCCTCCAGGGGGAGGGGGTTTGGGAGTAGCACACCCCCCCCCCCCCAACAAACAAAAAAAGCCCTCTGGTTTACATTTTTCACTTCTAAAAAATGCATGGCCATATTTTACTTAAAACTAACTATCATCGGTCAACACAAGAAAAAATAAGTGGTTCCAGAAGCGTGCCCTGTGG